GTAAGGGGCAGTTTTAAATTTCCTTCCTCAAAGTAATAAAGTAAGGGGCAGTTTTAAATTTCCTTCATCAAAGTAATAAATTAAGGGCAGTTTTAGACTTTCTTCATCAAAGTAACAAAGTTAGGGGCAGTTTTAGACTTTCTTCATCAAAGTAACAAAGTTAGGGGCAGTTTCAGCCCTTCTTCATCAAAGTAACAAAGTAGGGGGTAGTTTGAGACCATCCTTATCAAAGAAAAAACTATTTAAAAGTATTTCATAAATAAATACATTTGGAAGCAACCTGACAGTTTGTTAGCAATGAATAACAAGAAAACACTAGTTCAATAATTCTGTACACAAAGCATGATATATGCATTAAGGCATTATAAGCAGTCACTTAAACTTTTCTATATCTCCTGGTATTGATTAGAATAATTAAATGTAACCGAGTTACCTTACATGATTAAGTGTTACATTTTTTAGATTAATTCTACTGAGCTTTATGTGCATTCTTCAGACACCTTACCAAGTGGTCCAAGTCTGTAGTTAAAAGTAACAACAATCACTTCTTGTGACGCTACCAGCACGTGGGGAGGAAACGTGCTCGCACTACCGTGGTCCCAGTCTCCTCCGTGGATATAAACCATGACAGGATATTTCTCTTGGCTTTGGAGTTGTGTTCCTGCCTGTTGGAAGCAGCGGAAAAAAAAACAGTTAGCTTATTTTAGTAATAATTATTTATCTTAAACTGATAATGAATAAATGCAAAAAAAACATATTTTACAAGTTAACATTATGTTTTTGAAATTTCAATTGAGATGATGCCAGGGTCATTTGGGTCAAAGCTCTGGTAGCTCTCAATAACAACATTGAATGAAAAGACACTGAACCATTTTTATATTCACTCTGATACAAGAGTTCAGTAACACGTCACAACTTCCACACTCAAATCAAAAGCCAACTAAAAGTAAAAAGTTCATGAACAAACTAACTGGAGATTACATGATCTGTGTAAGACTAAGAAACAAGAATTAATATGTCACAAAAGAATATTCTGAAACCAATACTCACCTCTTCACACAGAATAGCTTTTTTCCTCTTTGAGTTCATGCGATCTACCAGAGATTTACAAGCCTTGTGAAAACTCCCATCTAGTCTCATGTGAAACCATGTAAATTTACAACACCGCATAATGATACAATCATGTAGAAAAACCCTCCACCAATAGGAGTGTGACACATCTTCATGCACAATGACTCCCTCTACATTCATGTTCGTGAATCCTTATTTTTTTTTCTCAGCTTTGTCGTAACAAACATGCTTTGAGTTTGCTGAGATTTCTGACTTTTTTCAGTTTTCAACTTTCCCTTCATTGAGTTTTAATGTACTCAATAAGAATTCACAGCTTAATGCGTACTTATCTTCTGCTGATGTGAGTGAAGATATTCACCTTGAACAAAATATCAATAATTTGGTGGGCAATTCTTTATGTGTGGAAGATGTGTCCAATGTGTAATGGGTCCATGATGTGTCCAATGTGTGATGGGTCCATGATGTGTCCAATGTGTAATGGGTCCATGATGTGGCCAATGTGTAATGGGTCCATGATGTGGCCAATGTGTAATGGGTCCATGATGTGGCCAGAACCATGTGCTTCAGTTCCCTTCCTCTTCCTTCAAACCTGAAGTTGAGTGCCTTTTTGTGCCTACAGGTTCTGCTTTGGGAATGTCCTCACCTACTGAAGAACACTCTCAGTCTTCCTCAGGGTTTCCAAACCTTATAACTCAGGTATGTACAGTTCCTTTGACTGTTCTTTATTACACAACCCTTCCCTTTATGATTTCTCTGTTTTCTCCCTGACATTGCTGTACATGCCCATTCCTTTGTTCTTCTTGGCTGAATAGTCACTCAAACTTCCCATCCCTTGACATCCAGTGTTTGGAGTTACTCTTGCCAATTTCGGGGCCAGATTCAATATTGGCTGTTTCCCTATCTAGTGCACAGTTTTCCTTACATTAAGTCTTTCTCTTTACCCTCTATAGGTATCTTTCTTCCTTCACCTTATGATGGAAGTGCTTCACCATTCCCCTGATGACTTTTCTGTGGACTCTAGATCACTCATCTACAATGGCCTGTTCCACCTCCTCTGCCCCTATGTTCTCATTTGGTTCCTTTGTTGTTGGAACCTTTTGGAAAGGGATATACTACTTTCTCAAGTCCATCTCCCTTCCTCCAGGACCTACATTTTACCCCATTTCTTTGTCTCGAAGTCTTTGGTAGCATCCCTGATTTGCTTGAATCATGAGCTGAAACTGTCTCCTATCAATCTTCCCTTACTTCTTTAGTTTCTCATTTGTCCCAACCTCACCCCTCCACTTCTTTCCATTGTCCTTCTCCTGTTCCCTGTTGGGTTTCTATGTCCTGAACTTCCATCTCTTCCTGTCCTACTTCCATCTGACATCTCATTTGCCAAACTAATTGTCAATAGCCATCTGTTCAGTTCAGATTCTGTGGGAACCCATCTGTCTCAGGCACATTTCTCTGCTGATAAATGGGTTCTACAAGTTCTTTTCTGTTGTCTTTCTCTTCACTTTTCTTCCTTCTTTTTCTCTCCCAACCTGTTGCCTTTCAACATCAATCTGATCCTTCTTACCTTAAATGTCTGGAGGGGTGGTGTTAGATTTGCTAGACAAACAAGCCATTCATAGGATTCATGATCTCTCTCTCTCTCCGGGTTATTTTACCCACCATTTTGTTCCCCCCCCCCCCAAACAACAGGGACTGGCACTCAGTTATCGACCTTTCTTACAGTAACTGTTTGTTGGCCATCCCACATTTTTGGATGGAGAATTTTTCTCTCTCTCTTTTTGTATTTCCAACCTGGCCTGTTGATGGCCTAAGTTGATGTGTTGGACACTTTTCTCTACATCTCAATCACCCCATGCTCATGATTATCTTCCAATTCATCCACAGGGATTAAAATTTAGAGTTCCATGCTCTTCCATTTGGAATAGCATCGACCTCTTATTTCTTCAATTGCACTACACTGGCCTTTGCTCCACATCTTCAAAGTCTGGATTTATGATTCCATTTCTTGCTTCTCCTTGCCCCTTCCCAGGCAGAATCTTTCAATAATAATTCCCTTCTTCACAAAGCCACTCATTTATGGTGGCTTATCAAGATTTTCAAGTCCTTCATTATCCAGACTCAATATCTCATCCACCTGGGAATTCTCTTCAACCCTCATTTCCAGTTCATATACAGAACCTCAAACATCTGGTCACCAAAGTTTGTGCTTCGACTTCACATTCTGCACAAGAATTTCTATCTCTTTTGGGGACCATGGCTTCTCTAGAATCCTTCATTCCACTTGGCTGTGGACATATGTGTCCCTTACAATGGGCATTGCATGACCAATATGTCCTCACCAATTCTCCTCTCCCCTTCTCTACTTAGGCTGCTCCAACACCATCACTGGCATTCTTTTACCTCCTTCCAAACCAGATTTTCATCTCTTTACAGATGTTTCTCTCTATGGGTGGGGTGCATCCTAGAATGCCTGTGTGACATTGGGTTCTTGGACCCTGGAAGAGGATTTGATACAATATCAATGCCCTTGAACTGCTCACTGTCCATTTGGCATGCTATAATTTTCTTCCACTCCTTGTGGATCATTTTGTGATGATCCACTCAGACAATTGTATGTTTGTGTCTCATATCAACTGTATATGGGCACCCAGTTCAGGACCCTCTGCTTTCAGAAATTGGCCCTCCAGTTTTGAACCCATTCCAATGAGATGAGTTTAATAGTTCAAGGTGTATTAAACATCACCATGGATTGCTTTTCTTGATGAGACCACATCCTACCCATGGAATGGTCCCTCCATTCTCAAATTTTCCTTTGGTTCTACTCCTAACTCAGGACTTCCAAAGTAACTGGAGAATGGACCGGGTATTCATGCTATTCCATAAAAAGACATACTGATCAAGTTCCAGTGTTTGGAGGTTTCTGTGCTATTGGACTGTTGAAAAGAGCCTTAGATGTGTTTATGAAAAATAATCAGAGAGAGTAGTGTGCTTTGGACAAAACATTCTTATAATGGAGCCTTTAGCAATGGAAACTATACTGCAGGGCTATTTTCAACATGCATAGTTGTCAGATAGAGTATGACTGTACATGGAAACACATACTGTAATGACATGGTTAGGCTCCAAAATTATTTTAATATAACATATATTTAACTTCTGTCAAACGTTACAAGCAACTGTACATCTTTAGATTAAAACAAAGCTCATACTTCAAATTTATAAAATGTATTAATTTATTTTTAATCATTTATATTATTTCCTACGTAAACTGTGGGTTTAACAACTTTTCCATAGTAATAATTTAATATGACAAGTTTAATAAAATCGTTTTACAGATCAGCTCGGGAAAAAAGGAGAAATTGGTTAAATATTCTCAACACATCAAATTTAATTTTCAATTTAGACCCTATATGGACTGTGAAAAAAAATACTCCTATGATTGAACCCAGTGATAGGGCACCAAAAGGGTTTTGATGTTTACATGAAGGAAGGAAAAAACAAAGACTTATCTTGGAAAAGCATGGGAGAAAAGTTACTTACGTACGGGGAGAATACATTCAGATACAAGCAATCTTCATCCACATTTTCTATACCCATATCAATCCCATAATAGTCCTTATATTGTGGGCAACCAGGTTTGTATTTTAATGCTCCAATTTTTCCAGTCTTGATAGAGGGCCGAGGATCCTGGAGGTAAATATATGTTCATAAATATACATATAGATATATATACATACATTTAAAAACAAACACATATCCTAATGTTAAGTTCATCACATAAAGTGGAAAAAAAGAAAAAATTAATATGTCAAAGAATTAAAAAATTGGGTACAAAACTACAGAATTGGAATGGTAAAATGTATTGTAATAAGTCAGATACCTGTGCTTGGTATAAATGCCTCAGACCATTCTACACTGGAGGTAAATGGCTGAAAGTTAGACTTAAGATTCCCACACGCACTGAGTCGAGAAGCATAATATCTTAGTTAATTCAATTTCTGCACATCATCACAGTTCTCCTGTCTTAATATAATATACTCAACTCTCTGTATGCATAATAACTTAGTTGATTTAATTTCTGCACATCATCACAGTTCTCCTGTCTTAATATAATATACTCAACTCTCTGTATGCATAATAACTTAGTTGATTTAATTTCTGCACATCATCACAGTTCTCCTGTCTTAATATAATATACTCAACTCTCTGTATGCATCTCATTGTGTGTTAACATTACAAAACTTAGGTTCTTGTCTTCATTTGCTGTCAAACAACTCGTATACGTTAAAGGTTTCTGTAATTTTGTTATTCAGTTTTGAAAGGTGTGTTAAAGAGTATTTTGCTATGTATTAACTAATCGATGTTAAAGGTTTTATTTTCATTGTTTAGTTTTCAAATTGATAATGTATCAATGTTAAATGGTCGTCCTGTCTGTGTATAGTGAAGTGTAAGTGTTTTACAACAACAACTTGCACAACCTTCTCCGTACCCAACTCAAATCTCACTGATCTTAATGGTCCACCTTAATAAGCCTTTAATCTTGAAGTCAATCTCCCATAACCCATTGTAAAGACACAGTAGTATTAGAAACTGACACCTGATCCAAGACCCAACGAAGGAGGTTCCATGATTTGATCTGCAGTGTAAGGCACGGATGGTGCTACATCATATCCACACTGTACAGTAACTTGCAATACAAATAATGTATTAAAGACACCCCATGTGTACTTGTGGACATCCAACTCACACAACTAACCACATAATAAATTAGTGTCCAAAATGTCTTCTTTCAAGAGGTATCGGTGACCTCCAGGCAGCGACGCCTGGCAACCTCAATATACGCTGTAACACTGTAATTTGCTGTTCTAACACTTCATATAACGAAGTGTTTTACAGGGGCAAAGTAAGTTACACCAGTTACTAGGTAAATTTGCAAGTTTCTGTCATTTGATTTAAAGTTGGAGACAACTTGAGGGTAAAGGAGGAGAGATATGTAGTAGATGAATGCTTAGTACCATCTTTACTTAGTAACGTGAAAGTTTCAAATTCCACGTAGATATTTCTAGCAATGAGTATAGCTTTAACAATATAATGTTGGTCAAGAAATGTGGTACCATGTATGCTTTCTCTTAGGGAAGATTCTTTTAAAGCAGGACCCGCTATGTCAAGTTGGATTAGGATGTTTTCCAATGGTAAGCTTGGTGAAACTTTTAGGGCACATCTTCCTGGGGTAGACTGGCATTAAAGGACCAGCCTGGGCAATATCACACGCTAGATACTGGCTAATCAATAAAAATTTAAAATCAATTTCTAAGAATGTTTTGGATACACAAGACTGTTTAGTGTAAGTGTTATTATTTAGTTTATTTTGTGACTTAATATTTTATAATTGTTTAGTTTTTACGACAGGAGTGTTGAAGATAGATTGTATTAAAAGTGTTAGTTGTGACAAATTTCGTAACTCTGTACCAGTCATATGTTTTGTTACATTATAGCGTCGCTTGCGTAATTTATGGGAAGTTCGAGGCCTCGGTGAATTATATATATAGGTGACTGGGAAGTGCAAGTTAAGTTGAGAAAAAGTGAATGTAATAGTTCAGTCAGAAAAACGTTAGAAAACGTGAAGTTAGCTGGCGTGTGAGTGATTAGCTATAACGGGCGATATTTTAAAGATATTTTTATTGTTTAATAGAGATAAGGAAGATAATTTGTCTTGTCAAAGGGTGTTCTAAAGTAATTGAACTCGTCTGTGTAGACTGACGAAAAGGAGACAATTATTTAAAGTTCGGGATACACCTGTGGTAATCCACAGAGTAATGTAAGAAACAAAGTAGAAAAAAATAGTTCATCTTGTCAGTTGGATTCTAAAGTAATTGAATCAGCCTGTGTGGACTTTTGACAACAACAAAAAAGAGAATTATTATTCAACTGTGATATCTTATAGTGTAAAGAATTTTTGTACTTATGTTTGATATGTTTTGAATATATTATTTTAAAACAAGTGGATTGTGTGCTATCCGTTTATTGTTCGAATTTATTGCCAACAAGTCACAGACACCTATATTAGAAGAATCCACAGCCCAGTGCTCATATACATAAAACCATGACAGAATGCATCAAATTCACTGGCCCACTGGGCAGTTGCCCAGTGTCCCAATCCACCCCTCATATCTTCCCTTATTTTTCTATGCGAATGGCCATCAGAGATAGTAGTAACACATACTCACTGAGACAGATGGAGTTATAGAACTTTCTACTTAATGCTATATTTGCTCAGTGTGGAAAAGGTTTTTAGATTTTAAAATCATTCAGATACATTACTAACTGAACTGCTCTCACCCTATTTACATGTCCTGTTGATTGATTTAAACAAATAAATATTACTTGGTGCTACAATAGCGTGCGATCTACACAGATACTATCATCATCACTGTTTTAACTTTCGTTTATTTGCAACTGGTGCCATTTATTATAAATAACGTTTTTAAACTAATAAAGTACAAAATACCATTACATAACATTTTTAGGGCAAATATAATTGGAATGAAATAAATTTCAACAATCAAAACTAGTACAATTATAACCTAAATTTAAGGTACTCTTTTGGAACACACAACTTATTAAATTATTATTATTTGCTGAATAGAAACGTGGACAGATATATATTATTTAGCAAGAAATGATGTTTTAGCGAATTATTAAAACAGTGATGGTGAGAGTATATGTGTAGACCACACGTTATAGTAGCATCAATCACTTTTCACTGTGTTCCTTAGCATTTAGTCTCTATCTTGTTAAACTCAGCGAATCTTTCAGAATTCTGAGGTACACTTGCTGAATGGACCTCCTGTTACCTACAGTACTTATATGAAATGTTTTTTCTGTATAATATCAAAAATGATACTATATTATAAATTTACAATATTTACCATTCTGTTAATTTATAAACATTTTAAAATTAATGGGGGGGGGGGGGGGGGTATTGACCTTACAAGTGTACTGAGCAATGGCATAAACGTTTACATGTATGTCATATTATAGAATTTCTAATTTGTGATTTTGACTGTTTTTGTGATTCTATCTGCTTCCTAAGTGTCGTAAATAGTTATAGATATTTTTAAACATAAAACAATTACAATCTGATAAAGGTGCGAGATGAAGAGCCCCTTATTGATGGTTTGATAGTCTTGTTTATTTGAAGCACTAGCGTAAGAAAGGCTTTCTACTCTAGTGTGTTTAGGAATAGGTTATTCCCTTATTTATATTTCTCATCGTTAGAGCACGAAATTAACGTAAGATGTTGTTCGTAGTACTTCGGTTTGTGGCCTCTAAATACACAGCCAAAACATACTGTGGTAGTTAGAAAAAACCTCCGTATTCCAGTTTCTGATCGTTTTGACTCTACTAATGAAAGAATCACAACGATTTAAGCCTAACATCCACTTCCGTGAACGTCACGACAAACTAGTACAAGTATGTCGTGGAGAAGCAGATAAATTTCGCGATCTACTAAAAACAATTTTACAAAAAGATTTTATTTTCAGCACATTATATTTACGAACACCAGAGAAAAATCAAACTCGACTGACACCACGCGTCTATCTCATCCCTACAAATTACCAGAAAAGGTATTACTGTATATTCGATGCATTTAATACTCAAATATTTTGAAATGTTGAGTATCGTTCTTGCATTTGTGACTAATGATTTTTATAGACGAGAAAGTATACTCTAACATTATTGACTTACCTGATCCGCATTCGTTAATGTACATTTACGTAGAATTCAGTGTGTGTAATTCTATTTTCTGATTTTATATACACATATGGTTGAAAACTAGCCAGTTATTTGAGATTTTTTATATTATGGACACATCTGATTGATCTTCGTATTGTTACGCCTCCGTTCGTTAGTTAATTAATTTTCCGTAAATTCGTTCCAACGAAACTTTAGCGACACAAGTCCTTTCTTAAATAAAACTGGTTTATTCTTTCCGAATACAACTTTACCGATACACTTAATTTCAACAGTCGCTCTATAACAAACGCTAGAACGTCTCACGTGCTCGTGCTCGACAATACTCAGTTCAATTACACATTCTCTGACTGCAGTTCAATTACTCATTACCCTCCGTCGCTTCGTGGCCGGTCTTATATATACAAGACTACACTATAGCTAGAAAGATCATGAGATTTAAGGAAAAGACGTGAAAGTTCGAGAATGACGTGGCGTGATACTAGTCACGTGACCTCGATGTCATAACAGTATTGTTGTAGGCCATATTTTTCAGTTCAGACTTTTGTACTATTGTTTTCGACGTCACGTGGTGAATGCGTAACTTAATCGTTAGACTTTTCTTGGCGAATAAATACTTACAGCAGCAGAAAAATGCACGTTAGGCTAAAGTAGTTAGTAGACATTAGTTGATTATTGAATCGAAATCAAGACACGGACACCCCAAAAATGATAACTGATATACAGAGTTTTCACTATTCGTGCGGGACGTTTTTTCCATCAAAGTTTAAAATTATCAGAAGAAGAAGAGCGTCCTGACCCAAAATGTTGTGAATGTGAGCATTAGAAAAGTGAACATCATATAAGATTTTTGTGATATAACATAGTGTTACGTCTCCGTTTGTTAATTAACTTTCAGTAACTTCGTTCCGACGAAACTTTAGCGACACAAG